ACACAAATTATCTTTATATGTGTGTAAATTTATATATATATTTCATAAATACCGTATAAATACCTTTTAAAAACCTTTCAAAAATTATTTAAAAACCATATAAAAACTTTGTAAACTTTATAAAACTTTATATAAGTCTTATAAATTCCGTTTAGAACATTTTAAAACTTTATAAATATTTGTATTGATTCTTCCAGTAGTAATGATGATCTAGATATACCTTATAAACTATATAAAAGTTTACAATTTTTTCATATTTTAAAAAGGGTATTTATATAAAGGGTGTGTTGGAGAAATAATACATTTTTGAAACTTAATTATAGAACTAGTACAATCACTATTTACAATTAGGAAACTAGTACATTATCACTATTTGCTACTATTTTGTTGACCTTTAAACACTCAAAAAACATATTATTTACAAGTATGCCATTAGAATAATTATTATAGGGAAAATTAGCATTATAGTACATTTTCAAAACTTAATTTGTGATATAGTACATTTACTATTCAAAATTGGATAAATAGACAATGGGTCCACTATGTGAGATAGAGAATGTGTGATATAGATGAGAAAGTGGGGTATAGTGTAGTTGTGGTAAATTACAAAAGGGTAGATGTACAAAAGGCATCCGTACAATTCATTTGTACATATAATATGTGTATAGTTTGATCTGTACAATTGTATTTGTACATATATATCATATTGTACAAATACATGTATAATACAATATAATAGTCAATATACATACAATTATATCTATACATATATCATTGTATATAGTTTTTATACATACATTTTTCTGTACATATAATAAATATACAGTTTGATCTGTACAATTGTATTTGTACATATATCCTATTGTACAAATACGTGTACAATCGTTTGCGACTTGTATACTAATATTTGTACACTTATTAAGTTGTACAGATGTACATATGTACACGTTTTAAGTTGTACGGATAAGATCTGTACACTTAGTAAATTGTACATATCTAAAATTAATGAAAATTATTTGTTATTATCAAATAAAATCTTCAAACAAAATGCATATCATATAATAGAGAAAAAAACATAGATTTTTATATATTTGAAACTTGTAAAAAAATAAAAATTCATTGACTAGTATTTTAGTTTTTAGATTGAAGGGAGAATGTAATTAAAAAGAAAAAAGAAAAAAAAAATATTAATTAAAAATCTGAGAGGAAAGAAAAATATAATTTAATTATATATTAATGGCATTTTTGTAAATAAGATGTTTTGGTGAGGATTGACAAGGCAAAGAAATAAAATAGCATAGTAAAAATGTGGATTTTGCTAATTGTAAATAGTAATTGTACTATTTATACAATTATGTTTCAAAAACTGTCTATTTCTCAAATTATTCCATTATATAATGATTATATAATATAATTCGTACATCATATTTTATGTACAGAAGTGTAAAAACATATATTTGTACAATAATAAAAATATTACACAATAACATCCGTACAACATATTAGTGTACGAATATGTACATAAATATGCATAAATTCATATATCATAGTAGTTGTACAGATAAAAATGTGTAATTTTTTATACATGCGTACATATAGTAAGCTGTACGGGGTACTCTATACATCTAATCAAGTGTACACAAACGTCTGTACATATACTAAATTGTACAAATACGTCTATACATATACTCTGTACATCTAATCAAGTGTACACAAACGTCTATACATATACTAAATTGTACAAATACGTCTGTACATATGCTAAAATGTACAAAAAAATATATACATATGAAATGTATTTAAATTATACTAAGCAAAATGCATATCAAATTATAGAGAAAAAACATAGATTTTTGTGAATCAAAAAAAAGTTTGAAAAAAAATTACAAAACCAAGAATTTTTAGTTATTAGAATGTTGGGGTAAGAATATTTAAAAGAATAAAATAAAAAAAAACAAAAAACAAAAAAAAAAACGAAAATCGGGAAACAACAAAAATGCCCTCCCTTGTCATTTTTTTTCTCCTTCTTTTTCTATCTCACAAATTCTCTATCTCACAAATTCTCTATCTCACGAATGTACTACTTTGCCAATTTTGAATAGTAAATGTATCACTTCCCCAATTAACTTCTCAAAATGTACTAAATATCCTATTAGTCCTTATATAAATGGATAGAGACTTTGTGTATTTTTAAAAAGGGGTACACCAAAAATGATATTTTCAAAAATGGATAGAAACTTGGTGTATTTTTAAAAAGGGGTACACCAAAAAAGGTATTTCTAAAAATTCTATTTCAATTATTAACCTAATTTTTGGTTTTGTCAGTTGTAGGTTTTACAATTATAAGGGTTATATGGTTATTTGAGTTTATAAATGCGCATTATAGTTTAGATTTTAGAATTAAACGAGATTATTTATTAGTTTGGGTTTATAAAGAGGAGTGAGGTTTATGTTTTACAATTAAACAAGGTTATTTATCAGTTTAGGTTCATCAAAGAGAATTAGGATTTACATTTTACAAATAAAATAGATTTTGAGTTTAACTAAATAAATATTTTCATTCATGATTTTTTATTTTATAATATGTTATATTTGTTTAATTTTTAATTTATGTATGAATGTATTATGCCATTCAGCAATTTCATTGTCTAAAACATAAGGGTGAATAAAAGATTTTCGAAAATAATATTTTTAGCTTAAATTAAAGATAACAAAAGTTCAATATTATTCGTAATATAATAATTTTAAAATATTTTTAAAAATATATATTTAGTTTTTTAAAAATTTTATTTGAAAGATTTTTTAATGTTTTCCTCAACGATGCTATAATTTAGTTTAGAATCTTTATGTTTATTTGCGTTGTTTATATGAACATATTTACAAATGACTATATTTGTATTTTACATCTTATTTTAGATTGATGTTAATTTGAAAGAACTTTACTATCATATTAAATAATAATTAATTAATTTTCATAATCTGAGAATGATTTAAAAAAAATTGAAAGTTAAGAAAGAAACATTTTTACAAAATGGTATGAATAATGGTGAATAGCTCCCAAATAGCTCCCAAATGTTTGGTGATTGTCAGTTTGACATTACTAGATGTTTATAATTAACGTTTAATAACGAATTTTAAGATATATATATATATATACACGTGTATTTGATATTTCAAACCAAGTAAAATTTCTTTCGAAATGAAAATAATTTTTCTTATTTTTTTTTAAAAAAAATCTGGAAATTATTTTTTATAAATTATAATAAATTATAATTTTAAATAAAGATAACCCGTACATCGGACGGGTACTAAACTAGTTTAATATATTTTGATGTGACATTCAATTCTCATACCATATGTTATGGATAATTATCGTTTCCTCGTTTAGATTAATGTAATATAGCTATGTCTCATCTCTGGAAGTCCGGCTCGCGAGGCTCGCGAGGCTCTTACCTATTTTCTAAATATTTATTATGTAAACAGAATCTACTTTGAAAATTAAACTTATTCGTTTTTTATCCAAATGCCTCATCCAAATACATTTATAAAATAATGTTCGTTTTAGTGTAATCATAACTATTTAAATGAACCAAATACCTTGAACAGTAAGAAAAAAAGATTCTCGTCGTCAAAGTGTTTCATAAACTTTTCTTCATCACCCATTAAGAACAAGGAGTTCCAGAATCGTCATCATTTTGCTTAATAGAAATATCTGCTCTTTTTTTTTTTTTTTTCTTTTTTTTTTCTATTACTAGCTACTAGATAAATCTGTTATCAGTTCTCGTAATTTAAACCAGTAACTAAATCAAAATCGTCAATCGGATGATAGATCTATCTAGCAGGTACAAAAAAAATAATACTTATACTAGATAAATCTATTATTCATTATTATTTCTACTAACTACTAGATAGATCTGTTATTGGCTTTCCTAAAAATGTTCACCACAACGCAACTCATGAATATATCCAACTTATTAATATACTTTTTATTTGGATATAAAAATACTAATTTCTGTTACAAAGTTTTCAAATTATTCATTTTATATCCAAATAAAAAATATATTAATAAGTGTAATATATTCTTCTTCTCGCAATGCAATGTACTATACAACAAATAATTTCCTATCAAATGTTCATATTTGACAATACATACAAATTTAATATTTAATAAATTTTATCTTGCACTATTGCGCGGGGTAGTCCTATAATTACATATCTAAATTACATGAAAACTATATAAATCATTGCTGTTTAAAGTTAAAGTTAGCTAGAAGATTAGGTGTATAACTACCATTCTACTGCGCATCTTATAAAATGAGAGACTGATTTACACTTCAAAGACTTGTCGGTAACAATGATTCTTAATCTTGATGCTATATATGAACTAAAGTACACAAGATAGATATTGCAATAACAAAGCACAAAATGCCTCATCCTCATCGTCCTCCTCCTCCTCCTTTCCAGGACCCACCGCAACTAAGACCACCGTATCAAGAGCCGCGGCCTCATCCTCCACCACCTCCTCCGGGACCTCACCCACCACCGCCACCTAATCCGGGACCTCACCCACCACCTCCACCTCCCGGAGCTACCTGGTTTCCAAGACCTTTTGGGCACCAGCCTCCTAGACCACCATGTTAGTCGTCATGAATGTTTCGTCTTCCTAAGTATATAATTCGAGTTATATGTTATTGAAATATCTTAGAACTTCAAAGATTTCATGTGTGTAATAATAATGTGACCCTTTCATATGTAATGAGGCTCACATGTGTGATTACAATTAATGTGACTCTCTTTCATGTGTAATTAGGCTCATGCATGTGTATTTGTAATGTGACAATTTCATATGTTTGATTAGATTGTATCTGCAACGATCACATGGTTGTAGCTTGTAACGAAGTATGCTTGCACTTGATTAATTATGTATTTCTAATGTAAATTTTAGAATATAACTAGTTTATTATTGTTTACCCTTTATGTGGTTAAATCAGTGAGAGCCGTTGAACAAATAAACAAGAAACAAGAAAATATATATGTTTTCAAATTGTCTTAACTGACAACGGTATTCTAATTATATGGTTTAAACTTCCGGTAAGGACAACTTCACCAAATGTAAATTGGTTCAAGACTTGTGTGACATTGAACTCGATGTCCAGATCTTGAATTCTCTGTGGTGGTACGGTAAACCAAGACGGGATTAACCGTACAGCTGTGCCATTGGGAGGTAAAACCGAACCAAGATATGTCTCAGTCTTGTTTGAGACGTTTTGGAAACTCCTTCTCACCACAAGTGACTCTTTAAGTCCAGATATAGTTACTGACGGATGGTTAAGGTTCGCTGGGTGGCTAAGTGTAGTGGTGCACATGACTCCGGTTGCCGCTCGAATCGTGACCGGGTTAATGTTCGGTAGTGAGCACAAGAAACTTATGTAGTCTTCGAAACCTGGTCCAATATTTAAAAAAAAGAAGATAATTCATACTTAAAATACTTAGTTTTTTTTACGTAAAAATTACACATTTCATAATTTATCAAATTATTGCCCTTGGTAAGTTAAAATTTAAAAGTTACCTGCGGGTAAAACCAGTCCAGGATCTATGGCTCTAGCAGGGTTAACATGGCCTGCGCCATGGTCGAAATGATTTGATGGAAACAATCTACTTATTTCATATGACTCAGCCGATATAACTTCACCAGAACTGTCATATTCGTTGGCCGTCGTGGAGATAGCCGATGCCATCATGGCCGGGGTCCAAGAAGGATTAAGTTGCTTTGTCAGCGCACCAATGCCCGCTACATGAGGAGCCGCCATGCTTGTTCCCGACAACAGCGCAAAGCTCCGTCCTATACACACAAATATTTTAAACTCTTAAGGGAGTACGTAGATATCATTTCATAAAGAATATTAGGGCTGTAATGAAAAAAACACCTGTGAGAATAGGATCAAAGGCACTAGGGAGGCTCCATGCACCCCAAATTTGGTGACCAGGTGCAAGAATATCTGGCTTTAGCACATCTAAAAGATTCCGATTTGCATCGATAAAAGCTGGTCCTCTTGAAGAGAACCTGCTCACTGCCGGTGCTTTCCCAGCAAAGACTGAGTTTCGTCCCTCGCCAAGTCTCGCTCGTGCCCCGAATTGCGTCACCATTCCTCTTTTGTCTCTATAGGTCTTCTCTTCGTAGTACCTTAATATAATCTAATACAAACAAAAAAATAAAAAATAAATAAATAAATAAATAAATCTCAATATATGTTGATGAAGTTTCATGAAATCTAATTTGAACCCAAATCACATGGTCATGCAGTTCGTAAATGAATGTGAATACATCATTCAAGTTTATTGTAACATATCATTGTGGATCTCATTATTTTTATATGACATTGTAAATTACTGTTATATATTTGTCATACTCCTAATAAGGTCACCAATTTCGTGCAAAACATACTAATTTTTTTTCTTATGATATGACTTTTACCTAGTTACCGTAGAAAAATATAACATTTCTTTCAATTTCAGATGGATTTATTGATGACATTACCTGAGCATCTGATACTCTAGGGATTAGTATACCAGGAGTTGAAAATATCACCGGTTCAGCAACATAATCCCCGAATCTAGGATTTGCAATGAGTATAAAACCCATGAAACCAAGAGTCCTGGCTGTTTGGGTGATGGCTCGAACGGTCGACAGTTGATTGTAGAAACCATCAGAAAATGTACATATCACAATACTTCCTAGAACGACGGCCGGGTCAAAATTATCCGGCCGCTGGCATTCTTCAATGTCTCCGGTTCGGGTTTGTAGAACCGACCCGTTTGTTCTACCAGCGTCTCTGGCTAAGACTAGCTTATGTTGAAGAAATGGAGCTCCAAGGCTTGGACCTTCAATTTCAATATGGAAAAAAAAAACATTTTTCATGAATGTTAAACCAATTTATATTGTACGAGTTTGTAAGAACAACACTACATTATTATGTTACAATTAGATATAATCAATAACCAAACACTACATTATTATGTCCATAAAACATATTTTATAATTTTATGATCATTATTGTTTTACCTAATAGTCCAACACCCTGAACGGTTTGCCCACCGTCGAGGATGAGGGAGGCAGGATAAGACCGGTCAGTATTCCCAGCAGCGACGCCAACGACCCAAGGACTATAAGACAACACAGAAGACGGCAAAGGGCCATGATTCCCTGCAGCTTGCACCACAAATACGCCAGCTTTTCTAGCCAATAGCATTGCTAGGTCGAATATCCCAAGTACCGTCGGCTTATCCACCGGTGGTTCGTCCGGTCCAACCGACAGCGTCAACACATCTACACCGTCCATAATTGCCTGTGACAAAATAAACATATACGTAAATAATAAATATTGATTAAAGATCGTCGTCACTAGGAGAAACATGTATAAAGTCTTGTTTAGAGCATTGTTTACTTGATCAATGGCTGCGATTACGTCAACAAGAGTTCCTATGGATGGATATATCGCCTTATAAACGGCTATGCTGCCATATGAACCAATAAAATTGCTCGTTAAGTTTTTTTTTTATATATACTTTTCTCAAAACTAGAGAGTATATCATCATTAATTAGTCTTAAATTTTCTAAAATTTGAGCTAATTAAAATATGAATGATGTGACGAACCGTGCACGTGGAGCCATACCGCTGGCACGGCCATAGAAGAATCCGTCGACGATCACCGGAACATTAGCGTTTCCGGCTGCAATTGATGCCACGTGGCTGAACCAAACCGACGAAATAGTCAACACTTATGCATAACATATTAATAAATCTAAGTATACAATGGTACATTAGTATTATAGTTTTTATAAAGTCTACTTTGATGCATGGTACGTTAGAAAAGTGATTCAACAAAATTTTATACCTTCCGTGGCCGGACGCATCAAATGGTGAGAGTATATCCAAAGAGGAGTTAAGAGCGCCTGAAGCTCGAGCTCCGGCTGAAAAGAACCTAGCGGAGATGATTTTTCCGTTACAAGATCCGACAGGGAAGAGAGGACCGGTCTCACAGTCGCCGGAGAAATTCAAACGTGAGTAAGGGTTTGTGGGATCGAATGCGGCAAAGCTCGGATGGGTAGGGTTGATTCCGGTGTCCACGAAACCTATCACGATGTCTTCTCCGGCGCGTCTGTCTCCGTCGTTTGAGATCTTTGGCCAGACTTGTTTAGGAAGTTCCAAGAAACCAGGAGTGTATGTTGTCATTAGTTTCACTCCTTTGTCTTCTTCAACTGCTTTAACTCCTTTTGCTTTCTTGAGTTTCTTGGCCTGCAAGTATCAAAATGAGGATTGTTTCCGGTTTACCAAACCAAAATTTAATCAAATATTGAACCAAACCTAGTTAAAAGGGGAAATTACTCAAAGAAGAAATATTTCTTCAATAAATTTGAGGTTATTCGGTTCGATTTGGTTTGATATAACAAAACAATAGGTCACTATGCCAAATTTGAACCAGCATTAGTTCGGTTTGGTTTGTTTGGTTAAGGTTTATCTTACCACCCCAATATGTAATGAAGGAAATATCCAAAACCAAACTAAATTAATTTATGGTTCTTATTTGACAATCAGCAGCTACATCCTCAAAACCGAGTAAACCAAAATCAAACCAAGAATTATTTCTAATTTGTTAAAAGTGCAGCTACATAATTCCAATTGAATCTCATGAAGTAACAAAGAGGTAATTCAATTTCATAAATTTGGACTATTGAACTTAATCTAAACCGGATAACAGTAAAATCAAACCAACAAAATAGTAAACCGAGTTTTGGGTAAGAGGAAGGACCTGAGAAGGAGTGGTACGGACGGCGAAAGCATTAATGACATGTTTGAAACTATAAAGCTTTGTATAACTTCCATTTTCAAGTGTGCTTCCAAGAATATCTTCGTGAACCGCTTCTATCTTCTTTGCTTCATATGCCATGGCTTTGCTAATTTTCACAAAATGTTAATTATATCCACAAGAAAGTAATAATGATCACATAATGAAAAAAATTGATCATGTGAACCTGTTGATGTTGGTAGAAGCACGAAAGGCTAATGGTTCACCTTCAACCAAAACAGAGTAAATCATTTGCAGAGAATCATCATCGTTTATGTGTTCTTCTTCTTCTGCTTTGGATAGTATTGCACAAACAATCAATACTGATATACAAATTATTAGCCATATGATACAATAGGATCTTAGTTTTCTTGGATTGGTTTCCATTAAATCTTTGTTTGGATTCTCCATTTGTATTAATTAAGAGATTTATATATTGTCGAGAGGGTAATGAGAGTCATGTTCTTGGACAATGCACATTACCAACGTGAACCATTTTCTTTTGTAATAGATGTTAATATGCGTTACAATTTTGGCATATTTGGTATGGTGTGAGTCTTGCTCACATCTTGAGTATAAGGAAAGTATTTTTCTTAGTTCTGACCAGAAATAAAAGAAAAAAGGAAACTTATTTAGAAAATATTATTTTCTATGATTAATTAGTTTATCATTAATTATATCGAATGCCACTTGTCATGTTTTGACTCGTTTTTTTAAGTTTATGCTGACCAAAATGATAAGAATGTGATTATGTGAACTGTATTATTCAAGACTATTTTCATTTAACGAGATAAGTGGAACTGTGGAAATATATAATTTAAAAATGTGATTATTTGCATTCTCATATAGCCACAATAACGATCCATCCACGGTAAAGTTTATGAAGTCCTTAGATCTGGTTTCAAAAGATCAGTTCTTGTCTTGATAAGACGTGGTTGATGTTATTATTGGATTATCCGTAGACATTCTTGATAAAAGCGGTTGTCATACTTTTTAACCGATTTGGTTTGTAAAGGGCAAATCTAGTTGTTTTCATCTTTAGGTTAAGAGTTCGTTTTTTTCCCGGATTCAAATTTTTTGTTATGTAGCATTTTTTTTTGGTTTCGCTGTATGTTTTCGTGAACTTCTAATCGTTCGCCGGCCTAGATTCTCTCGTTTGAGCTTTAGACTCCGAAAATATCTTTGTTCTCCGGTGGCTTGTATTACACTATATATCCCTGTAATTTTATCAAGTGACAAAAAAAAAAGATTTTGTTTTATCTTTTTTTTTTATGTGTCATCTAAGTGACAAGAAAAGGATTTATTTGCTACTTGTTGTATTGTTTCTTATTGGGCCAATATGGGCCAGTCTATTATTCAAGAAAATATAATTATTGAGCCCAATAATATTCATAAAATCGAACGGAAGCAAAGAACAGAACCTTTAAACCTCTTCTGAGTTTTTCTTTCTCAAATGTTCAGAGCTAAAAACCCTAAATCCCCAATTCATCAAAGCTTCGTTCTTTATCTTCTTCGCCAAATTAGTTCGAGAAACAGAGAAACTAGTGTTGGTTCGGCTCGTACATACCAATCAGGACCTGCTTCAAGCCCTAGCTTATCGATATGGAGACGGAAGAAGGAAATGAGCAAAGAAGGTTTAATCGCTGCCAAAGAGCTCAAACGTCTGCAAACCAAATTGGTCCGACTCGATCGGTTCATTTCTTCTCATGTCGCTCGTCTCCTTAGATCTGATCTTGTTTCTGTTCTTGCTGAGTTTCAGAGACAAAACCAAGTTTTCCTCTGTATGAAGGTAATTAAATTAAGTTCCGGTCCGGTTTGTCAATTTCGTTATTTCGGTTTGGAATTAATTCAGCGAATTCGACCGAAACTAACGGTCAGTAAATTTGCTTTGGTTCATTGTTGAAAATTTGACATTTTTCAATAATTTTGGTTTAACTATGTCACAGTTTGGTGATTTCGTTATATTTGGGATAAAATTTTGATAAATCCAGTTTAATTTTCGTTAAATTTAAATAATCTCAGTAATTTCGGTTAACTGGTCTCAAACCGGTTATTGAAGGCTTGGTTTGGTTTCACCTGATAAACCGAATCAGCCAAACTTCGGTTCAGTCTATATAGTTTTTGATGTGTAGTTTGTTGATGGTGTCAATGTTTTTGGCACATTTCTTTGATGTTTGATTTGGTGTAAATGTTGTCTTCTTCATTATCTTTCAGCTCTACGAAGTTGTGAGAAGAGAAATATGGTATAGACCGGATATGTTTTTCTACAGAGACATGCTCATGATGCTTGCAAGAAACAAGAAAGTGGATGAAACCAAGAAAGTATGGGAAGATTTAAAGAAAGAAGGGGTTTTGTTTGACCAACATACATTTGGAGATCTTGTTCGAGCGTTTTCGGATAACGAGCTTCCGGTAGAAGCAATGAGATTGTATGGAGAGATGAGAGATTCTCCTGACCCGCCTCTGTCTCTGCCTTTTCGTGTTATTTTGAAAGGACTCGTTCCTTATCCTGAGTTGAGAGAGAAGGTGAAAGATGATTTCTTGGAGCTTTTCCCTGGAATGATTGTGTATGATCCTCCCGAGGATATATGCGAAGAAAGTGATGATGAAGCAAGGACAGATAGCGATCTTGAGTAGAGAGGTAGTTTTGTATTTTGAGATACTGGTTTCTTGAATCTGTTTGGTTTAGTTAGTGCTCGAAATCATTACATGGAAACATCCTAGGCTGCTTGTTGCTCTCTGATGCATTGCTTTGTCTAAAAAATTCATTAGATCTTTGTTCTTCGATCTGGAAATCAAATTCCAATTATGTTAACTTCAGATTGATTACTCATTTATCCTACACAACCAGAGAGAATTGTTTAGCGCTGGAAAAAGTGTATCTTAAAAGCTAGTTATCTGCGATTTTGTCGTGTGTCTCTACTTGTCTATAGATAAAAATTGATATCAGAGCAATTCTACTAACTTAAGGATTGCATTCCAGTTTCAGGTTAGATTAAGTGGAAAATATCAATTTGTGGCTATGTAAAAACTGAAACGAGTATGTTTGTGGATGGAACAAACTATGGCTATTGATAACCGAAGATGATGGGGGATAATTGAACAAGGATTCAAGAAACTAATGTGTAAAGTCTCTCGCGGGAATGCTGAATGCTGTTGTATTAAATTAGTTCAAGATCATTTTGAAAAAAATACCATCGAAAGATTTTAAAAACCAATATTGTGCAATGATCGGTCGGTTAAGGTCTGACCAACTCTTTGAGAGTACTTGCATTCTCTCATTTATTCCCCATACAAACTCATTAATCAATGGATACTTCAAGATCAGCGTTATTCCTCATATATATGTTCTCTCTTAATTCACCCTTATTCCTCATACCAAAGTTCCGTCGTTCGACAGAAAACAAACTCAGCTTGTAGTTAATATTGTTTGTTTACTCTTTCGATTTGGATTTGCGGCAATATTTTTACTCTATTAAATCTATCTAATGCTAGAACAAAATAAAATGTTTTTATTTATGCTTCTTAACTTTATTTTAATAATGATTTAAGAATCTTTTTTAAAAAAACCTCTTTGTATGTCGCAAATGAGATTTCGAACTAGTCATTTGTTGTCATTGAAGTTTTTTCATCTTAATCATTTTAATCTTTAAAAGTGTTGTCCTTTCGTCCTAACCATTCAAAAAGTTTAAAGGTAAATTCACTTATATAGACGAAATAAGTAGATCTAGGTTTAGTAAAATAGGATAAATAAAAGTGCTTAATAAATTAATTAATAAAAGTAATTCATTTAAATTAAGATTTCAAAATATATATATATGATCTCTTACCATTGAATTTTGATATTGACTCATTAAATCTTGGTTGATGTAGATTAACATTGGGTAAGTCTCGTCGGTCTTATAAGTCCTAACAAAGTAATTAAGGGGAAATTTGATTGAAATACAAAAAAAAGATTGAAAGACAACACAACATACATTTATATTTTCATATAAAATCATGATTATATGCTATCAGTAATTTTAAATATGTTATATATAATGCATATCAACTACATGTTGAAAAAAAGACTTTACATTATTAGCTTTTGCACTTATGTTTGAGAAAAAAAAATGTACAGAAAGTGAAAATACGGTATATGAATATGATTATTCCTTTGATATGTTTTTTACTAGTTTACTTTGAAATAAATCACAAGTTTTGATAAACATAATTTGTTATTTTACCATCAAATGTCTGTCTTCTTATAGTTTATTTATGAAATTCTAGACTGCAAATGCACATTCTATTTTTATTTTATTTTTAACAAAATGCACATTCTATTTAGTAAATATTATTTTCATCTAATGACTTTCAAATTTCAATCATCATCATTATGGTTCAACGTGTTTAGAGTTCATACTTGTACCTATGAAGTTGTAAGTATTTACTTTCTATGATTTAGAGTTCAACATGCACTTTCGTACATTAACAGCGGTAGCCATATCAATTGTTGGAAACTTTATTGCATAACAAAATTTTGATTAAATAATCACAGGAACAGTTTTACCAATTGATATATTGGAATAAAAGCAAAGAAAAGAACTTTACATAGTGACCGAAATGACTCAAATGTTGTCGAACCCAGAAGAATCTATCAAAAAGCTTTACTATCATTATAATAGCAAGAGTAAATCCCACATAGCAATAGAACAATACAAAAGGATACACACCACAAATCATTCATAATCAGGGGAAACATTAAACGCTTGTTCATCAATCGGAACATGTTACGTATGTTCCTAAGTATACCGAGAACCATAGGTTATACATATTATAAGCTGTTTATAAATATAATAAAATAAAGGTTTTAAAGGCTCGATCAAAGCATGGTGGATGAGATGTGATCCATGGGGAAAGGATTGCCCAAGACATTATCCATGAAGTAATGGTGAGGATGTGTTGCGTCCATTACTACAAACTGCATATCCTCCGATGGTTTCCAATGCCTTTTCCTCTGGTTTATGAACCAGTTGTTTATCTGTTTCTGGTCCAGCCCCGTTGACTCCGCCAGCGCCAGCTTTTGCTGCTCCTGCCATTTCATACCCACAAGTGAGAAAAAATGTGTCAATCATCAATTTTTCTTATCAACATTCAGAGTGTTGTATTCTCTTAAGATGTGGACGAGGACTTAGAATCGATCTAATGCATAGAGGCTTAGGTAATTACACTTTATGATATTAGGGTCGTTATTTGTGTTCCAATAAGCTCATTTGAACACATACTGTATGAAGGTTGATCATATGCGTTTTAAAGACATAAGCTACTCTTCCATTAGGGGAACTGCCTCATGCACACTACTTTCCAAAGTTATGACTTAAAGTATATAGGCTAAGTTATAGTACAAGCGTACAGTCTAAGGATGAAAGTGGTCCGTGTCTTAACTTGGATTGACATAATATTCAGACCTAATAAAAGTATGCAAGCAAGAATCAGGCTGTCATCAGCTATAGGCCCAAAAAAAGTATACATTGACCAAAAAAGTGTAATTCATTCATTTTGATTAAGATTTCAAATTATGCAAATGCAGATTGCGCAATGCATGAAACATAAGCTAAGATAAAACTAATGTCCCCAACAATACCATGGATGCAAATATCACAAATAACATAAGATAAAAGATATATAAGTTAAATTCATTCTTCTTTGATTAGACTTAATAGTCATATAATGCATTAAAAAAATGATCATCTAATTAGAGTATAAGAGAAGTAAGTTACCGAAGGGTAAGGCCATTTGTAGTGGCGGCTCCACCAATCAAGCAGTTGTTGGCGAGCTTCTTTAGGGAGTTTTCCCTTCTTCCTCTTCTTCATAAACTCTTGCTTAAGGCTCCCTAAGTAACCACTGTACTTGCGCAAGAGCTGTCCTTTAAGCTCCCTATCCTCAGCTTGTGGATCCACAAATTCATTGCTCATATCCACTTCTTCCTCAGATGAACCATTATTATTCCTATCAATTGCTGTCTCTCCATAACCTACTTTGATTAAAACATGTTCAAAACAAGTCAAACTCGTCACCAAAAAGATCAATGATAGAATAGGTTAGTGATACAAATTATTCAAAGAAACGAGTGAAGTAGGTGTGAGCCTTGTGTGTCTATATACAAACTTAACTACATCCTTTGAAAAGAAGAGTGATATGACCTTGTGTAGATATATGTATATGTAATTACACGTACAAGAAACATGTGTATGTCTAAATTGAGCAATAGATCTAAGGACGAACAGACTCTAGATCCAGATATTCTTTTTGATGATGCATTTGAATTAAATAGATCCAAAAACAAACTGAGAAGATAGAGACAAGAACAGTGATTGTTGTTGTACCAAGCAAAAATAAAAATTCAATTCCAAACAGACAAAAGAAAAACATTAAACAAATTGTTTTTTAACTCAATGAGAACATCTACATACACTATAACTTATGTATAGATAGATTTATACACGTAAACCTAGTAAGCTATATATAACAATCTGACACTAAACCTAGCAACAACTATCAAAGGGGTATTAACCCAAGAAAAAAAATCAGAAAAAAGGAAAAATCTTTCTTAAAACCCACAAAGAAAAATAAAATAAAAACAACTTTATCTCATCTTACGTTTAATTTGACGCCATAATTAAATAAATAAAAAATCAAAGTTGAAAAAAAAAACAGAGATTATAGAGAAAGAGAGTAACCGGAGAAAGAGGAAGGTGAAGAGAGAGATAGGGATTTGAATTGACACTCGACACGTTGAAGGAAGACCATAGCTTCCTTGAATGGTTTGGAGAGTTCTTGCTCATACTTAACGAGCATTTCACAGTAAGCTTCCATGAACTGATCAAGCCCTGGATCTTCACCTAAACACCCCGTTGGTCCCATAGATGCTGCTGCTGCCGCCGCTGACGAGCATGCCTCCTCCAGTCTCACCACTACCTCCGGTGGTGCTCCAACCTTAACAATCGTGAATGAGTCATTAACAGAGATATGAACTTTAAATCCAACTAAGAAAATGACCCTTGAGTAAGGATTTGAACACATGTCCTAATCTTGAAGCCAAGAAACAATATTTTCGGATGATTTCTTGAACATAGGGTTTTTAAAATACTTCTTTCTTTCTTTTTTCCTAGTTTCTTGAAACTTTCTGAACTTTCTCAAAATAGGAATAATTGTTTCCTTTGTTTTGTGTTTTTTTAGTTGGATTAAGTAACTAGTAAACAAAAGGAGATATCAAAATCAAACTAAAACATCAAGTAAAAAGGGTTAAGTAAAAAAGAAAAGGTAAAGTTTAGTGATTAGGGTTTCTAGAATCTTCTTCTTCTTTGTGTTATAAAAAATATCAAATAAGGATCATTAGAGTTAAGAATAATTAATTTTTAGGGTTAGTTCTCTCATCACCTTCTGGCAATTGACATAAGCGGCCAAGAGGCGGTGGTAGTGAGGATGAGCCATGATCTTAGCCTTGACAGAGGCTGAAGAAGAGGAGGAAGAGCAAGGGTTGATCCCTCCTGCAACGACGTCGTTGTGATGGATCTCCATGAGAGAGTAAGCAGGAGGAGCACAGGAGGAAGGAGAAGAAGAAGAAGCGACTTTGTTCTTAGTAGCTTGAGGAGGAGGAGCTAGTGATTGAAGAAAAAGGGTACTACTTTGTTGGTGGTGTGACTGATATGCATAACCATCATGTTCTTGTTGTTGATGTTGATGATCATGACCATGATGTTGATGTGATGTCATGATGGGCGGCATCATCATCATCATAGGACACATCGGACCATCACTATTATCCCCGGCAAAAGCCATTGGACAAGAAGTGCTGTTGGAACCACTCTCCATCTTCTCTTTCTCTCACTAGTATTATTATTCACTTTGGCTTTGCTATATAGCTACGAGAGAAAAAAAAAATTCTTTAATTTAAAGAAAATAAAAAGAAGAAGAGCACTGTAAGTAAAATACAGCTAGCATTTATCATCAATATCATGAAACACAATAAAGTACTACAAGTGTATTGGGAAACCCTAAAAGAGTAAATAAGATATGTGTGTATGAGTGTGTATATATATTATATGGTTTTTCTAATTTTAATTAATATGAAAATGCAAAAGTGGTCTCCCGGGATTTATGCTTCAACAATCAGCTTCCTTTTTCACATTGAAAATTCTAAATAGTGATAGTTATGGGGGAGAGGGAAGCAGCAGAAGAGAGACACAGCAAGATAA